ACAAAATATCGTTTACATAAGGTAAACGATATTTGTTGTTAGTTATTGGAAATTTTATCAAATTATCACCAATCAAGTTCAACAAATCGTTTATTCTAATAATGGACATTGTGTCGTTAATAAATGCCGCGGAATGCAAAGTTAACCGTAGCTACGATTTTTCATATAATTATATACATAGTAGAAAACCAATTCTGTTAGCGTTTAAACAACCGTTAAAGCAATTTTGGTCGATCACTACGGTGCATTAATTTATAACCCAAGGAGTTTTTTTATTTATTAGTTTTTATACAAAACATTAATCTGTTTTTCATATGTTTCTCTTACTAATATTATGTACTCTAATTAAAACTCAACCGCCACGAGTGTGATTCGTAATTATAAAGTTGTATCTTCAAAGCACATTGAACTAAGCCTTTTAAAAATAAATCTATCGCACACAAAAGTTACGTACTATGCAGCTCGCAATTTATTATTTTACTCGTAATTTATAATTTATAATGCAACAGCGGACCGATCGAAGTTCATCAAACGCACGACGAACTCAAAATGAACCAACTGCTTCGTTCGTTACTGAAAACTGTACACAAGCCGGGTTCCGCCATCGCCAGACTTCGTACGGTCCGCCGAGGAAATTGGGTTTTCTCGGCGTCGCTTCTGTCTCTTCCGACGGATTTGTAATCTGATTAGAACGACGAACTGTCCTCTGTTTACGTACAGCATTCACTGCAGACTAACATAGGTATTACGATGGCGTATGATGTGAACTTGATAGTTCGTTTGGGTGAAAACAATCATGTTCTGTCCATACTCATAAATAGCTCTGGTCGTATTTCATCCGCATGTTGTGGACCCATAAATAGTTTTTCGTAGCCTGGACCTATTTCATCCGCATGTTGTGGACCCAAAGCTATCAAAGGCGTGGGTCATACTTTTATCGAAAATGGAATAGATAACAACCTCATTCCGTCAAGTCTTTTCTACATTTACAGACTCAATGCACACGGTTCAAACAGGCAAACGCAATGCATACTGATATATGCCTGTTTGTATATAATATTGAGCCGTGCTAGTTAACTGAGTCACTGGCTTCATCTAAGAACACGCGGAGGCATTACCTTGTGCTCCAATTAACTAAGCAGATGTAATGCTATTGGTATAATATGGAAGGTTTCGAGCTGCGATGCAGACCGATCGCAATACGTAATAGAAAACATGTTCTGTATAGTTGCATTATGTATTGCAATATTGTTAAAATACACAAATATTTATTTTCAGGACAAATTTTTACACAATGTTTTTAGTCCCGAGTAAGCACCGCTTGTACTATGGATACTAGATAACTGATAAACATATTTAAACATACTTTTATTTGTAAATAAATACATATTATAAATAAACAAACCCCCAGACATCGAAAAACATTATGTTCATCACACAATATTTTTCCGGTAGTGGGATCGAACCCACGCCCTATGGCGCAAGAGGCAGCGCTACCCACAACGCCAATCGGGTCGTCATACATATATTGTATCCTTATTTTATTAACTTGCTTAATCTTATCTTGCGTTTTTATTTTTGTTTTTATCGGTTTGTGAAAAAGCTTTTATTAGTGATGACTGCAGATGCCAAGGTTTTGAAGGGACCAAAACTAATAAAAAGAGGTTCTATAACTCATGCTAGGCATTAGATAGTACATTCGTAACTTGCCAAATTCCAAAAGCGCACCCGCGGCTGAACTCAATCGAGCGCGGTTGTAGTCACGCGGGACGATAACGCGCACGATGCGCTTCCAACCCAATTGGAGTCTTATTCCACACGCCATAGGGGTCACAATTGCGTTTCAGACAACGGGCCCGTAACGGTGCGTAATGAACCGGAAACCGGCCGCCCCGCTACGCGACGTTACGCAATCCATGAATACAGAAAGCGCGTAAATAAATAGCAGATGCGCGAAAAACTCACCCCCGGCCGTTGGGCGTAATAATTGAAGGGGGCGCGGGTGCAGGGGCGACCCCCCCCCCCCCATGACACCGTTCTCACGCGACGTAACTTCCGTTTTCAGCGTGATGAATGGGAATGTTGGGAGCACGCCAGACTAACGCGTGGGCTGATTAGAAGCTTGCGTAAAGTATATGCTGCGGGACTGCTACGCGCGTTTGTGTCGGTTGACACGTCATAGAGGCGAAAGCAGTGAAACGTCGCCGAAAGAAAGTCGCATGGGACTTCTAAAAGCGACGGGAAGCATTTATTTTTTGCTTATAGATTGATATTTTTTTAATTTATGACACTTGATATGTAGCTGAATCTTCATAATTTTTACAAATCTTCCGATGTTCTTACATATGTACATTACTAGCGACCCGGCCCGGCTTCGCACGGGTGCAATGTATTATACATATAAACCTTCCTCTTGAATCACTCTATCTAGTAAAAAAACCGCATAAAGATCCGTTGCGTAGTTTTAAAGATCTAAGCATACATAGGGACAGACAAACAGCGGGACGACTTTGTTTTATACTACATAGTAATACTAGCGGAACTGACAGCTGCTGTCCTGTACATATGTCTTAAATCCTAAAATTTTAAACTTTTTGAATAAGTCCGTGCATGTAAAAAATTAAAATCGGTCCAGCCGCAGTGACATAAAAACGCAAAGAAGAATTATAAATGTAGATATACTATTTTTAAGAATACCGTTTTTCATCTTTGAATCAAATTTTGTCAATAGATAGCATTATCATACATCTTTCATTCTTTATATGAACATTTTTTTACGATCATTTTTTAAACTTTGTTCTAGTTATATGCCATACGAGCCTTCAAATTGGTGTTTGAATCGTTATATTTTATAGAGATTATGGAAGTTGACGACAAAAAATCGTGACATATACATGCACTTCATTGAGCTTAATGTGACAAATGGAACTGTTTCAACCGGCAATTGTTTCGGAACGAGTTCAGTTACGTCCGACAGTTGTCAGCGCAATTAGCGAATGACGAATGGAACCGCCGCGGCTTCGCGTACGGAACCCGATTTAGTAGTCTCCGTTCCGAGTTCAACACGACCGGAGCAAACCCGTCGTGGCCGGAGTGGGCGCTCGTTGTGTTATTTTCCTTTTTTTTTTTTTTTCATGCCCTCCCTCCCCGCGGCCAGTTGTTCCGATGATGTGGGCGATTGAAACATAAATTCTGGTGTAGATAAAAAGAGGCGAATTGCGTGATTGTCCGTCGCTTGTCTTTGCCCTTTTTTGTTTTTTTTTTATGCGCGAGGTTTTTTGTTTTTTCGCTTTTGCCTTTTCAAATTTCGAAGTGGCTTTCCATCGGGTCGGTGCGCTTTTAATTTTCGAGTTTTTCAATGTTATCCGAAGCGTTTCGTTGCACGGTGAGTGAACGTTTAATTGGATTCAAAATATGTTTCTTTGACTTTTTTGGTTCATTTGGTTATCATCAAGTATATTTTGAATCAAATTAAATGAGAATCAAAATAAAAGAATGGTGGTTTGATTATTGTATCAAAGTCAAAGAAAGAAGAGAATATTTCTTTATTCAATTTAGGCCTAATTTAAGCAAGTATGGCGATGTTATACCTACTATTGTTTATTTCTCATTGATTTTTAGACGAAATAATCTGAAAGTTATACGTATACTATATTCCCAAGAGATGTATGTAGTTGTTTAGTTTGAGTTTGTCAGATGCCCGTAATGCCGACAGCTTGCGACATCTCATTCAAGCATCCAGCATAAAAACGTAATAAAGTAATTATATTTAATCGAACGCTGTCAGCCGTTACATCAAAACATTTAATTGAATGTTTCGTAAGTTAACAGACAGCTGTGGAAATCAATATGTGCAACATGCCATATCAATTTTATGTACTATTGAAATTATCATCCCTTCCCATCCCAATCTTTAAAGAAGAAGAAAGAAAATTATTAAAAAGAGCAAAATAACCACAAATAAATCAATACAGCCATAGGTCTTAAACATAACTTCCTTTAAATGATTCTTGTACACACTTGTATTAAGGGTACGGGTACCTATTAGTTAGCAATACGGTTGACTGAAATATCGTAGGATATCCTTCGTAATTGTTAAGCTTGTTAGAGTAATGGGCTGCGAGTAGCATTTTTTGAAATTCGCCCGTTCAAGAGACATCGTGGAAACGTCTTGCATGAAAGTTCAATGCAGCAACTAGCTGCGCTGCCGATGTAATCGAAAATAACCGTTATGCGCAACGGATCAAGGTTGTTTTAACAGGGCGCTTCCGTTGTTGCGTTGTTGTGATTTAACGCTGTCGATTGTGACAAAATTAAAGGGAGAATTCGCCGGGACACATGTGCGCAGCGGGGCGCCACGCTATCGTATGCAATCCAAAAATCCGGGGGAAATCTGACAGCCGAGCGCCCGCACTATCGGACGCGAGACCCCAACGTGACATTTACAGCGTGACACGGGACGATATTATTTTTTACCGTCAGGGAATTGAAACTCGAATTTTAAAATTGTTACCAGTTTTGGTCGTCTGTCGCAATGATATCACTGCATAGTATAAAACAAAGAAATTGACGAGATTTTTTAACCTACAACGTTCCAATAGATCTTTTGAAAGCTTCTTTGTATTCAATCTCAAGTCTTATTCGCAAACAAGCTTTAATAACGAAAACTTTGCCTTTTAATTGGTACACAACTAGCGACCCGCCCCGTCTTCGCACGGGTGCAATGTATTATACATATAAACGTTCCTCTTGAATCACTCTATCTAGTAAAAAAAACCGCATCAAGATCCGTTGCGTAGTTTTTAAGATCTAAGCATACATAGGGACAGACAGACTGCGGGACGACTTTGTTTTATACTATGTAGTGATCGAATAAATAAGTCTGTTGTAATGTTGGATACGTGTATATACCACGAGAGCACAATATGCAACACGACAGCCAATTAAGATACTCACAGCCCCATAAAGGATATATCTAATGGCGGGGTATTTTTCCATTACGAAATTTGCGGTGCGATGATGCCTCTCGGCGAGGGTAGCGCCCTAGCCTTGCCATGTGCACGCGACGCGTTATTTGTCCTTTCGAGCGCCCAGTCATTACGTACAGCGGCGGCCGTGGACTCGAAAGGGGATGGCGAATTATCGAGGTCTTTGGTAACGTTGAAGGCGGGCTGGGGAAGCGGCTAAATTACAAGTCGCCGTTTTGCTTAGCGCTTTTCACTGGGATTTTTTTTTATGTGAAAAGTTGCCAAGCGAGCAGACGGTTCACCTGATGTTAAGTGAGTCCGCCGCCCATGGACATCTGCTACACCCGAGGGTACCAAATGCGTTGACAACCTTTTGAAAATTGGTCTCCAGCCACCTCACTCACCAGACGAAACGCGAAAGTATTATACTTCCACTTTACGCCTGTGAGGTCGTGGTTCTCACCCGGACGAGCCTGCCCATTCGTGCAACAGCCGAGTCTGCTGCGTGGCCCTACCACCGTAAAAAATATATAGCTAACGAGAGGCGATGCGTCCACGATATCTTATTGCCCCGTCGTAGCTCCATTCTTGCCGTCATATTTGAACTGTACATCGTCCTGTACGCCGGGAAGTAATATTGAAGATAGTTTACTTAATAATCATCACGTAGAACTTTCAAAACGTTTGCCCTGAAAACGTCTAGTTTAGAACTTTTATAATGAAACATAGGGCGTAGAGCATAACTACTTACATAATAGCTCCCGCTATGAACGTGTTAGTTCGAAAGGGAAGGAGGAAAGGAAGGAGGAAGGGAAGGAGGAAGGGAAGGTTTCACAGAAGATGACAGGAAGTAAAACATACTTTTGTGTTTGATGCTTCTCTCTGGTTGGCAGCCTATGCAAGATGTTACACCAGTGCTATGGAACGAAGTTCGTTATGGCATGGATTAGGCGGATGGGGGCTAGGCGAAAAAAGGTGTAAGAATTTTTCCGTCACGAAAATACCAAGGCAGCCAATAACAACTTGTTTTGTGTCAAATAAATCTGTTTCTTTCGTTTTGAAATTTAATCAATAATTCGAAGTTATTTAATCAAACCTTTGTCACTTGCATTCAATGTCTTTATCACAAACAAAGAGTACTGGCGCAGGGGATAAAAAATTTATTTATTGGACATACAATACGTTTATTAATAATAATATACGACGAAATGAACTTCGCTCCAGCCGAGTGTTCCACGAAATTCACGCAAATTTCAATCAAACGATTAACCATCAATCAATTCCAAATTGATTGATGGTTAATCGTTTGATCAGTTAAAGTGAAGTCCCTTTGATATAAAAACAAGACATAATAGTGCAGTGCGTATATTTAAGGTGTTTACCTTACTTACTTCCTGCCGTAGTGTTGTTAATGATTTACAGTGAGGTAATAGGGTCCGTGGCGGTTCACGCTACGCGTTAATTTGCCGCCGCGATAGCATCGTCACTCGTCACGCATAATAACTGCATCCCGCACTTGTTTGTCTGTTTGCATTGACATGACGTCAGTGGTGAACGTATGTTTTTTTTTATGGAGGAAAGAGGCAAACGAGCAGGAGGCTCACCTAATGGTAAGTGATTACCGCCCATGAACACCTGCAACACCCGAGGGCTTACAAATGCATTGCCGGCATTTTAGGATAGAACGTATGCATGTATATTTACGATATATTTGCATTTGAATTGCCTTCGGTCTTCGGCTAAAAGAGTACGGTGCGACGAACAGAATGGTGGACTTTACACGTCTTGGGAGCTTTTTTTAATATTTCTCAGTTGTGAAGTTCACCTCAAATTTCCATATTATCCTTCAGCGTTGAGCACGTGGTGAATAGGAGCTTTAAATTGCAAACGTTTCATGGTTTACTGTAACGACCATTTGAACATAGGTTTGTTGAGCGTCTTCTAACGCACTTATGGATTATTTGGTAATTATGGATCCACTGAGCTACGACATTTCAAATGGGAATGTTCATGTTCATATTTAGCATTGCCTAGCAATGTAATACATCTTTTCTCCTGGAAATTACTATACCGCACTAATTAAAAATAACCATCCGAATGGACGTTTGGACACATTTAATTTTAAATGACACATCGTGATAATACTTGACGTATAATTCCTGAGAATGACGGAAAGGGAATATCTTGAACCATTTGTGCAGTTCATTAAAAATACCGGGTATTTTACAGATAGGGACCGGGTGTCGGTACGGTACTTGCTAAAGCGTACCAGTTTTGAGTCACGAGCGTGGATCAATGGCGACGTATGTTCACCGAACGTGTGCTTAGTCCGTCCACTTTGCACCGTTTCGACACGTAAAGAATCAATCTGTTTAGTCTCGACATCAGTTCTCGTATACTGGCGTTAATGGTTTCGCGGCTAACGCTTTTACAACCCACGCACCGGAACCAGAATAAACTTACCTGACGAGTGACGAATCCGTTTAAAAGTCGGCTGGAGAGTTCTCTGCACATACGTTCGTTTCAAATAATGGAGTTCGCAGGTTATAAAGTTTCTGAAAACGTTAGCGGTTGCACGAATGGCCAGGGGAAGTACCACGGCATAAATATGTTTCATATAATTGAGCATGAAGACGTCATAGCTGAGTGTTCGGGCGCTCGCCTTTAATTCAATATACTCGAGCAACCCGAGTTCGATACCCGGTGGCGGCACCAATGAAACTGCGCAGCGGTGAAGGAAAACATCGTGAGGAAATCTGCGTATTTTCGAAATAATAACAGGAAAAAATATTTCGAATATATGTGAAGTCCGCCAGTCCGCCGAGGAGCCGCGTCCTGGACTATGCTCCTCCTCTGTACATAGGAGGCCTTTGCCAAGCAGTGGGACATGTATAGGCTGTTACTTTACTTTTCTTTTCTTATCTTTAATGGAACTTCTGGGTTGTAAAGTTTCGTAAAACGTTAGCTGTTGCACGAATCGCCAGGGGATGTAACACGGCCTCACAGAAGACTGGCGTGAAGTGGAAGTACTAAACTTTAGAATTTCGTCAAGTGCGTGAGGTAACCGGGGCCCACTTTTTACAGGTTGTCATCGGGGGGTTTTAGCCGTCAATGAGCGGTGGTATTCATTTAACATCAGGTGAACCGCCTGCTCGCTTCATAACTTTTCACATTAAAATAAAAAATAGTTAACAAATAAGTCAGCGACGGACCAATGGTCGGGGCTTCGGCTTTGCGCTTTTACAGTCGCGAGTTCGGACTCGATGGCGTGTAATTTTAGCCTTACCGGTGTTTGGATTTCTTCCAAAATCATTGTCTGATACTTGTGACTGGCGGTCGACAAGATTCTTGCCGTGTCACTTTTAAAACAAGAAGAAACTGTGAACCGTGTAAAGAATTAGATCTATCTACCACGTTGAGGTCAATAAACGAGAGATCAACGATCTTTCGTTGTTATCGAACTAAGTGTAATATGTCCCCACAAATTGAAGGTGAGACTAGAAACATATAATCGACTAGAAACGATAAATCTATGGCGATAGATATGTACCTACTTATATTCCGATCACCATTCACATTCGCCGGATAATCGGGACGACGCTGCAAAAACACACACACACAACTCACGCACACAACTCACGCACACATACGGCGAGCGTACCCATCAATAGCGATCCGCGAGCGAACATCAAACGCGCCGCGGCACGGCCCGACGCGGGGCGGGCTTCTTGGAACGGCCCGTGCGGGGTCAACGGCCGGTTTCGGCGACCTTGCCTCACCTACATACAACGGCCACTTTTGCTTTCGCACTCGCAAAAAAGGCCCGCGCGCGCCCGATACACTCGCGACCCTAGTCTACCGAATGTGGGTCAGGAGGCGCGTTTTCGCCAAGAGGCCGACGGTTACGCGAAAGTGCTGTCAGCGCGCACCGGTTTCTTGGCGAGCGCGTGCCGCTGAATCGATATCGGCATGCGCTGAGTAGTACGGACTCTAACAGCCGACTACTTCTTTGAGAGCAGCTCTAAACCGTTCTTAAACATTCTAAAGCAACGCTCAGTAGTACGGGCGCCCCGTCTCTTGTGAGAAATGAGATCCGCAAAAACAGCCGACTACTTCTTTAAGAGCAGCTCTAAACCGTTCTTAAACATTCTAAAGCGACGCACAGTAGTACGGACGCCCCGTCTCTTGTGAGAAATGAGATCCGCAAAAACAGCCGACTACTTCTTTAAGAGCAGCTATAAACCGTTCTTAAACATTCTAAAGCGACGCACAGTAGTACGGACGCCCCGTCTCTTGTGAGAAATGAGATCCGCAAAAACAGCCGACTACTTCTTTAAGAGCAGCTCTAAACCGTTCTTAAACATTCTAAAGCGACGCACAGTAGTACGAACTCCCCGTCTCTTGTGAGAAATGAGATCCGCAGAACAGCCGACTACTTCTTTAAGTGCAGCTCTAAACCGTTCTTAATAAACTAACAACGCTAGTCTCTATGTATGTATTAAGTTCAGACAAGTCTTCATATCTAATTTAGGAGCCCCTTACGAGTTGTATAACATCTTTCAAATAACTCTTTTTTTTTACAAGAGGTAAACGAGCAGGCGGCTCACATGATGTTAAATGATTGCTGCCGCCCATGGGTACAATCATTTAACATCAAGTGAATCCGCGTGGTTTACTTGCTGTTATTTAAGAGAGGTCCAGGCCATTTCGCTCAGCAGACGAAACTCGAACTCGTAAATTCTTTTACGCCGGTCCATTGTATGGCTGCGGTTAGGTAAAGGGGAACTTTATGCAACAGCAGTGGCGGTAGCTCCACCTCAGCAGCTCTCGTGACAATCGCTGACGCAACTACCTAGGTCATGGCACTACGCTCAAGGTCAAACGTGTTCGGATAACCCGTGGTTGTGATTCTAATCGTTCGTTTACTTTACCAAACAATAATAAAGTTCATACTTCACATGTGATCCGGACCCCTTCCGCTAACTTATTTGCTTCTTATTACTTCTATTCCACAACCAGCAGTTGGCTAGGTGACCTGCCAAACCATTGTACCATGCGCGCGCTCAAACCTGTGACACATTAACTACAGAAGCTTTGGTTACTGTGAGGCTTAGTTAGGCACGTCGTTACTCTGAGGTCTGGACAGCGATTCGGCAGACTTCACAAAACTCCGTGACATTTTATTTTTAAAATCATTCATGTTGCCTCAATATGCTGTACGTAATAAATGAGTATATAATAAATGAGTGAGTATATAATATTATGACGTGTTTGGGTAAGCGATCTGAATTAGCCTTGACAAAATCACTGCTTATCTGTCTTTATACACAATGCCAGCCTTGATAGTGGGATGATGTATCCAATTTTTTGATTAAGGCATTAAAATGATTCTTCCAATAAAAACACAATAAAGTTAAAGTTAATTTACGGTCGACACATACGAATATTGATTATTTGGGTGAAATGACACAAAGTATTCGGCTTAATATTGCAGTTTAAACAATATTTAGTACATAACATTCATATGAAGCATAAGCCACTCTTAAATTTTTTGATATATTATTAAAATTCAACTTGATTTAGATCATTTATGATTCAGCTTTATTTATCGCGTTATTCTACCCTCGAATTAAAACAATGTAACTATAATTTGTAAGGATATAATTCTCAATACGCCGGAATTTAAAAGGGTGAAACAAATTTTGAAGTAGGTAACTTTTATAGAATAGTATTTGCTTCATATCTCCGACTGTAAAAATACAATAATGCAGTCAAAAAATAGAAACAAAATACCTATCACTGTTACTCTTTTTATTTCCCAAGTTTTCACGTCTACATCACATAAAATAATAATGTGAATTTGTTTCAATACATACTAGACTAATAAAACGAATTGTGTATTACTAATAAAAGTAACAGTGTGGAATGTACTTTTTTTATCGTAAAACTAGTATTTGTGACCACATTGCATCTAAATATTTGCTACAGGTTTTACATAACTCGATAAAGTTAAGGCTGAAATGACGCTGCGATCGTTGTCCGAAATGTGAGATTGTTAAACCGTTTAAAATATTTCACCGACTAAGCTCGTTTATACCGACGGGTGGGCTTAGACGGGAATGTGTGTGTGTCTGCTATCTCTCTCTTCCAACATAAGTGAGCTATGCGCTAGAGCAAGAGAACCGGACACGGGCGACGGTCTCGAATATCCTTGAGTAGCTACTAAATTTTAAAACTACAGCCGTTTTTTCGCTCTCGTAGCATTTTGTTCAGAAATAAATGTTAAAAAGAAAATAATTTAATGGTTCACTTTACTTATAACCTGTTTTCGGGGCAGTTAATATCAAAGTATGAGAACAAATCCCACCGACGATTTGAAAATCCTCAAAGATTGATAATTTTCTTTGTTATTAGCGAGAAAGGGGACTCTAAAGCTTTCTGTCACGATTAATGAACTTCGGCATCGAATTAAGCCCCCTAATAGATAATTGAGACGTGCTTCATAAATCTTGGCTGCAAAAAAATTCGATCTTAAAATTGGGTCAATTAGTGAAGAAGCCCCCGCTGTAGTGAGTAGGGGGAGGGGGCGTGTAGACATAGTTATATGAGAGCTGCGGCTTCGTAAAGGGCGAGGGTGCACCTTGAGTACGCGGAATCCGCCCCACCCACGCCCTTAGACCCTCGCGTTCGCTGCAAGTAAAATACACAGCAAACGCCCTCTGCGCAGAGTTCGTTATCGCCCGACAGCGATCCAATTCGTAAAATTCACCATTCGAAATTTACCTGTGGATTTCGTCCGACAAAAGTTAACTAAACGAGTTAGCCGGTAGAGAGCGCGCGGCGTCCACCATTTTTCCGTGCGACGGAACGCTCAAATAAGCCGACATTCCCGTCTGCTGCGCGTAAATAGAGCGACGCGCAACTGATGTGGCACCGCGGACGCGGCAGCGAGGCAATAAAGAGTCCGGCAATAAAGACGTGCAGTCGACGGCCGGCTGTGTATTGCGCGTTGAATGTCGCGGGCCCCAAAATAATCGTGGACGGGCGGCCGGTGCAGCGACGCGCCGCGTTGCGTCATTGCACTGGACCGGCAGGGCATTGCACCTTGCGTCCTACGCCCCCCACGCCGCCGCAGCCCCCGCCATCGCGCGCCCTCGCGTGCTATCGATCCCACATTTAACAGCTGATCGTCATTAAAGCCGAGGATAGTCGTCACTATGATCTTGCCGCAGCGCACCGTCCGCGTCCCGTGCAGCCGACATTTCCAACTGCATGCTATGTCAGGAGTAATCGCTGTTGAAGCGTATTGCGGACGCGCCGCCTCGTCACGGCTTGTATGCTCGTAATACATTGTCATTGCACTCTCCGCGTGGCGTGCCAAACGCGCCGCCGATCAAGATTATTTTAATGACCGGAGTCGGTGTATTATACTGTGAGGATTACCATTCCAAGAAACATTGATGCGTTTTTGTTCTTTATATGAATGTGTTTCGAAGTTTGAACCCAACGGAGGAGCATTCCGGTTCTGAGATTTTAAAAAGCGTTAGAATGAAATTAGTTTGCAAAATCACTCCCCTTTATATGTTTGTAGTATAAGTAACTATCACTCCCAGTGACTTCATGTGAGAAATTCATCCTTGTCACCCAAATGGCAAATTTTAGTATAACTGCAATGGCAACAAGGCAGTACAGTTTTATTAAAGACTAGACTGGCTTCGCACGGGTGCTATGTATTATACATATAAAACTTCCTCTTAAATCACTATCTAATAAAAAAAAAAACCGCTTCAAGATTCGTTGCGTAGTTTTAAAGATCTAAGCATACATAAGGACACACAGACAGCGGGACGACTTTGTTTTATACTATGTAGAGATATAGGATATAAGACTAGTATGTTTTTGTGTTGTCCATTTCCTTGTAACTCCGTGCTGTTTATAACATAGTTTAAGCGGTGAATCTCGATTGTTCCAGTGGCGTGGCGGTGTTGAGTCCGACAGAGAGCGGTGGGTGCAGCGGCAGCGACATCACCGAGCCCCGCTCGCCGCGCAGCCCCGAGCTGTCGGGGGGAGAGGGCGCGACCGCGCGCATGCCTCCCTGGGCGAGCGAGCCGGCGCAGGGCCCGAGGCGCCTCGCGGCCCAACCAGCGCCAGTGCGCCGCCCCAACCCGCCCAGCCATCGCCGCATCACCGAGTACTTCAACCACAAGATGAAACCTCAGACCGGCCTCAAACGCGACGCCGCCTGCATCGATGACAAGAAGAAGTGCCTACCGAAGAACGGCGTCACTCACGACCTAGAGAAATATATCACCTACCTGTCCCAAACGCTCAGCCCGAAAGTATTATTAGATGTCGGGAAACAAGCCGACGTTAGGAATTCGAACAGTCAAATCGCGAACTGTAGTGCAGACACGACGAGCAACACAGATTTCAGTACGGGCGGCCATGTCAAAGGTGCTCCTGACTTTTGTAGGTCTAAAGACAATAAAGATCGAATTCACTCAACGATGAACGGTTTCGTTGACATTCGACACGGACCCGAGTCCAATAAACGAGAGATCATTACTGCGAGCCATCTCAATGGTACTCTTGACAGCAAAAAATGTTGGTTTGAGATGAACTCGTCGCATGACCCATCCGCCAATGGTATTTTGAACTCTCACACGCAGAAATCATGTGCTAATAAACGTAAAATGCCAATACCCGCCAATAAGAACTTAATCGAAGTGAGAATAGCACCATCTACTTGTGTTCGTAACACTCAAAAGAAAACGGCGGCTCATAAAAACGAAGCACGAATGAACGGAGTCGTGAGTTCGACAACGAAATTAGACACAAGGATGAATGGAGTCACGTGCGGTTCAAATAATTTGAATTTGAACATTAAACCTAAAATTGCACCGGCGAAAAAGGATACTGCAAAGAAAAATACATCCCCGCCAAAAAGATCGAACAGAAAATCTTCAGCATGCATTGCGAATAGTAAAAACCTGACCTGGTCCAAAGCTAACAATTTGAAGCAAGTTCAACTTCAAAAGCAGCATTGTGCCAATTCAGTCCAAAGTGCTCCACTAAATAACATTCCCGGCGAACTGAACGCAACACCAAAGATTATTCCAAACGGTGTCCGACAAGTCTCCATGGCAGTAAACAACGGTATCGGCAATATGAATGTGCCAGTCACAAATTTTCAAAACTGTCATCCGATAAATCTTCAACACCCACAACCATGTAACGGCACAGTTACATCCACAAACTTAGCGTCTTTTGTAGCTATGCCTCATAATGTTATGCTCACAACTTTAAGGATACCACCAAATGGTTTACCCGCCCAGGCATTAACTCAACAGAACGGAATGAATTCTTTCAACAGACCAAATGTCAACGTATCCTCCAGCCCGACAAAGCTCAACGGCCAGTTTGTTTTTCCATTCGTACAAAATATTAATGGCACTGTAGTTCAAATACCTAATCTAATGGCGAAAATGCCAAATTTCGTACTTCCTCAATCTGCTCAATTAACAGCTCCGAGGCAAGATCACATGACAAACCAGCAATCGGCTCAAATTCTGATCAATGGTACATTATTAAAATTAGCAAATACGCCTCCAGCGTATCCTGCCATCAACAAAATTTCACCAGTTACAAGTCAGTCAATACCAGTTATGAATAAAAACATGACAGGTATGCAAGCTGTCGGAATGACAGTTCAGCCAAAAACAAATTACACGGTGAATTTGAGTCATCCCGTGTTAATGCCGCAACCCGGATATATCGTTACTTCAGTGCCAAATATCAACGTCAAGGAAACCTGGAGCTGTTCAAGCACAAACCCATCTTCGTCTCCTCAAACCTCATGCTCGAACCCAATAGTTCACCATCCGCCACCGATGATTACAAATTTCACGACGCAAGCTTTACACTCGAGTAGTATACCCATGGCCCCGGTGAAACCTCCAGACAATCCGATCCAAGGCACAGAACCGCCTAGCAGTACAGTAAAAGAAGCCGAATTTATGGATCTTAAAGATGAAAAGTGTGATATACCCTGGCTGTCAAAAACTGTAAATAACAATTTTGTTTCATTAGACACAAACAAATTACCTTTAAGGCCTTTTGCACAAGTCAGCAGTTTGTCCGAGAAATTGGAAGAGTTTGCAAAATGTGAAATAAAAAATAAACATATTATTGAAACGTCATCGAAGTTGGGAGACTTAATGTCGTTAGAGGAAAAAAGGAAAGTTGACGAGGTGGCGAGAAGAGAAGAAACTATTTTTACACAGATAACAGTTTTAAAGGATGTCACGTCGAACGTAGAGAGTAGTGTTATAGAGGCGGATTTCTGCACCGCGACAACGGAGTCTTCTGAATCCGGCATCGGCACTGACAAGTCGATAGATTCGCCAAGTGATTCGCAAGCAAGCAAGGAATGTGACGATGACTCCTCGCTTTCCCTTAGCATAAGTATTTGTTCAATGGATGCGCAGAGTAGTCAGAAGAGCCCAATACTAAAGCAGCCTAAAACACTGCGGTTTCCGCCCAAAAGTAGTATCAAGCCCCAGAACGACAAACGGACTTCTAGCACAGATACAACGTCCACAGTAACCGTTTGCCTATGGGAAAACTGCAAGAGGGATTTCGAGAGCGATTCGGATCTTCTGGAACATATACAGGTTGGATTTCGATGTCTTTTTAAATTGATTTGTATTCAATGATGACATGATTTTGCAAGACAAAAGATATTTTTGGAAGTTCAAATGTACAAAAAGAAAAAAAAATGTCGGTCTAGTTTAATTTGGCAGTTTCCATAAGATCGATCTTTATGTCAAAGCAACTTGGTAACGAAGAATAGATCAAGAATATAGTTTCGTTCCATAAATTCCAGTCAGCCCACGTGGAGTCGCAGGCGGGCTGCGAGAACTACGTCTGCCAGTGGGAGCGATGCAAAGTGCGAGGCAAACCGTCCTGCTCCAGACTGTGGCTGGAGCGGCATGCGCTCGCGCACAGCGGGAACAAGCCGTTCAAGTGCATCGTGGACGGCTGCGACAGGCGCTTCTCCACTCAGGTACAATTACGTTCTTTGGTGAGCACTCCGCAGGGGACCGGGCGCATTTCGCCAGAACGAATCCACAATAACACGCTCTAGCGCCGCCCGGACTGAGTTATTGTGTCCATCGTTCTGACGATTTGATGTGTTGGTTCTTTTTTCGCTACTGGTTCAGTTCGAGGCCCGTCTTCACTTCTTCGGATTGATGCGCCGAGACAGTTTCGTTGTCTTCGATCGTTGTATGAGAGGATTGGCTGGATTCCATTGGTCCTTACCAGATACTTTTGGCAATGGCGATTTTAAGCTAGAGTTTATATTTGATTGATTTGAATGGGTCATTGTCATTTGTATATACAACAGCAAGTAGATGACAGCAGACAGTCAGATTATTGCAAAAAGTATCTTGGTCAAAAATTAACCTAGTATTTGATTTCGAAATATTGGAAACGGACCTGTTAGTTGAAATGGTATCATTTTATATTCGTGTGCATTGTTTTTATTTTTCAATGAATTCGTTTTAATCTTCCGTTCTCTTCAAATCACGTCTGGTCGGGGGTGATTGCATCATACGTGCTTGAAGAGAATTTGTTTGATCACGATTTTTGTTAAAAAATTTAATCGATCTACAGCGAACTTTTCAAAACTCTTGCGTGTTTCCATAATTTTCTGTGTTTACCTTGTCTGCATTTAAATTCCTACACCTTTATTTGAAAATGGTGTGATTCAATCACTTGATCATGTGGCACCACACTTTCGTATAGAGAATTCGTGCAGTGAAAGAAAATTCCATCGTCTTCGAGTGAAATCGAGGTTGTTCATTAAAGTCACCAATTCTTTACGTTACATTTGATCTCCAGTAGTGGTGTTGCCACAATTACACGATCTGATTTTAAGAGTTCGATCCGTCCCACTGCAATTTAAATGTCGAACGTTAAACTTGTGCTGTGTTTTCTTTCCCAAGGTCAAAGAAGACGATGTCACGTACGGACTGTGCGCCTACTTAGTGCGATCTACATATGTTATTTTATTTTCGTATCGTCCAATAAGCTTATTGGGGATTATTGTGATGTTAATGATTGTGTCATGCCAAGCATTAAAAGCGGATTCGCAATTTCTCGATAAATTTATTGTGTGATATAGTTTTTCTTTTATTTTTTATCTCCTTCGAGACGTGCTGAGTGAGACTAGTCTGCGACGGGTTCTAACAGGATTAACGAATCAAGTATTGTTTTAGGATTAAGAGATAACATTGTAGTTACATACGTTAGTGTACATGCAACACACACTATACTAACATTTTGTTTCTTTGATCGCTTTTCCCGACTGTCTATTCTAGTTGTCTATTCGTTTCTAAGTTTATAATCGTTTTAAAATTTGGAATTTCTCTTTCGTTTCAAAACTCATCACGGTTTTTGTATATTTTTCTTTCAGACTTTAAAATATTACTTTTTACTATATTTCACTTATAATCTGCCGAATATTTTACTCAAAATCTTTTAAAATTCTATTTAGTTCATTGAATATAATTAATTTTGTTTTATAAGTTTGATTGCAATCAATTAAAAGTAAAAAGTATCAATTCTTATGCATACATACCTAGTCAATAGTCGAACAAAATCGCTACCAATAACATTCGTCAATTGCAAACAATGCTTCATTAATCTTCCTTCGTGTCTTTTTCGTCGTTTGTAATATTGCTAATGCCAATTCCAGACTTTGTTGGAGCGGCACGTAAACAACCACTTCAACGAGGTGTCACCGAACAACAGTGGCAGCAAGAAGACTGCTGACAGCTCCGCAAAGCTCATACGACGCAATGGCAAGAAGCTGCGGTACAGACGGCAACCTTGGTCTGGTTGGTGAATCTCATATCCTCCTATCCTCTATATCTCCAATCACCTTACTGGGCGAAAGCTGAGAACGTATGAGACAAACCCGTCGCCCATTCCATCCAAAGATAATTTAAAAACTTTGCACTTGCTGTTAGATTATCTCTTCCTATTTTAAGCGATCGGATGTGATTCACACACGCAAATAAAACGTACCAAGCGTAAGCTTGCTTCACTAGAATAGACCTTCTAGATCGCAGCACTCATTGGGACTTGCAGCCCAGCCCTTACACACAAATCATGGCAGATTGCTTTGCGAGCAAGGTGGGAGTAACAGTGGCGCATGTCTCGTGTTCCGCAGCGCGGATGTTCGACTTCTTCGACGCGGGCACTATGGAGGGGCTCGCGTGGCGGCTGTCGCGGAGCACCAGGTGGCGTTTGGGCGGCGCGTGTCCGCTGCGCGAGCCGCCCGGCAGGCACACGCTGACGCTGCACGCGGCGCTCACGGCGACCCGATACAACGCCGCCGAGGCGCGCAGGGAGGCGCTCCTCACGTACTACCCGCCGCACGTGTGAGTTGCACCAAACAGTTACGCTCACTCACACAGCACACGTTCATTACAACGCGCCACAACGCCGCCGAGGCGCGCACGTATGAGTTGCACCAAACAGTTACGCTCACTCAAACGTTCATTAGCAATAACAGGCGTTGACGTACGAGTTGCACTAAACAGTAACGCTCACTCAAACAGCACACGTTCTCTACAAATAACTGGCGTTGACGCACTACGTGCACCACGTAGCAGTGGCTCCAATAAACTACGCTGACTCACACGGTATACGTTCATTACCAGCAATAGCCATCGACGTACTACATGCCGCGCGTGCGAGTTGAAGCAAACAGTTAAGCTCACTCACACAACACACGTTCATTATCAATAACGGGCGTTGACGTACTACCCGCCGCACTTGTGAGATATAACAATAAACTACGATTACTCACACGGCAAACGTGCACTACAAATAACAGACTTTGACGTTCTACTCGCCGCACGTGTGAGTTGCACCAATCTGTTACACACTCACACAACACACGTTCAATACAAATAACCGGTGTTGACGCGTTACGTGCTCCACGTAACAGTAGCTCCAATCAACTACGCTGACTCACATGGCACACGTTCCCTACTATTCAGGCATTAACGTATCACTCGCTGCACGTCTTAGTTGTACGTCATTTACGCTCACTCATTAAAAATGTCAGGTATTGACGTACCACCAGCTGCACGTATCAGTTGCACCAATCAACTATGCTCACACCGCACATGTTCAATAAAAACAACAGACATTAACGCACTAGCCGCAATAAACTAATATCACTCATACAGCATACGTTCACTACAAACAGCAGGCATTGAGTTCATATGCGGCTGATGAGCATAAATTCCATGAATTGATGAGTAGTTCCATGAGTTTATGAGTAACACTCACATCTGCTGTACGCGCATCACGTGCTTTAAAACGGTTCATGTGCGCGAAAGGAATAAAATTCCACAAAATACAAATGAGTTGCACCAAAACCCATTAATGTCTTTGCTCCTGTTTTATTAATCTCAATAGTGCGGGGTCGATAAAGGAAACGATACAAAAACCTTTGTCATCTAGGATGAGTTACACATGTACTCACTTACCCCTCGTTTGCCCAACACACGTTCACCTCACGCGTTACAGCCGTGTAATTTGCTCCCCAAACTATACTGCACACTCTCCCACTGCATTTATAAACAAAAATTATTTAGCTAAGTATATAAAAAAAAAAATAAACACCACGAGTTGCCACTGCTACTCCGCGAGTCTGAGTTCACTTACAGGACGGTCTAGCAATTTTTACTGCACGCCCACTCTTTTCATTTTTCAAACACACTAACGTATACAAAAGTGTTCATAGTAAAATGGAATAAATGAGTTTTTTGAAAGTTCTTATTATATTTATCATAAATTTCAGATGTTATTTTTCATGCTGAAGATATTGTTTACACTTGTTTGACTTGACTAGCCACGAAAACGTTTCTGTCATAATTTCGATCGTAACATTACATTCTGTCGCTCACTTAGAAATAATAAAAGACGTTTTGTTCCAAATTTCACCATAAACTACATAATTCTGACATGATTCAAATTTAGAGTTGTTGAGATGTGAAAAATATTTTAAACATAAAAAAGGAATGTCTCAATAATGTTCAACGTTAATCACATAACATATTAAACTCTATTAATATTATATCCTTTTTAATTGTATATATGACCCCTTGACACATTTATATGCCTATTTATCATTTTCTCTCACATACATTCCTTTTTTAAACTTAGTGTGCGAAAAAGCGACTTACAAATGTTTTCTTCGTTATATTAACTACAAACAATTCACACATGTTAGCACTACTTGTTTAGATTAAAATAAAATATATCTATGTTAAGTGAAATATCTCGTCAATTCTTTGTGAAGTATAAACAATTTTGTATTAACATAATATTCTTGAGAGATAATTAATTATATAATAATATTTATTTTATATTACATTAAATACCAGTGTAATGCTTGTATAGTCAATGGTTGTATCTTTAAATACAATTTTGCTTATACTTACAGAAAATTATATGTAATCTTAACATCACCAACTAAATGCTCAATTCTCGATATTAAGTAATTATTACATGATGTGTTTCAGGTAAGCATTGTTTATGGCGTCATAAATAAATATTAATGGATAACTAGAATGAATGGAGGAGAGAGATTGAATATATTTTGCCACGTTGCATAGTAAAGATATTGTATACAAGTAACGGACATTTTAATACTTAGATTGTTTTATTGATGATCATTTCATCATCATCATAATGATTTAAGCATTTGAAATTTACTCAGCAGCCCAGTTATTGTTTATAAGTGATGAGGTAAACAACAGGTGGGTTTTGTAGATTTAATGTCCATGTTACTCGACATTAATATGCAATACATGACTGGTATCACTTATTATTTTTTTGTGTTTCTCATTAGTTTATTATATCCTCAGTATAGTGTATTATACTTATTTTATAATTTTTTTTTCTAACATTTTGTATTTTTGACTTATTACATTTTTTGTATTTATTACATTTTATATTATTTAGTATTTTGTACTTATATTTTTATATCTTCATCTTTGCATTTTATTACTATCACTAAGTTATTGTCTTTTTGTTTTGAATTTTCGATTGTAATTATTTCAAAATCTTTTCTGTTCATTATGTAAATTATATACATTTTACTATATAGGTACAGAAAGAAACTAGTCCTATTTTTATGTTACGAATAATTTTATTTTGCTCTATATTTGCCAGTTCTTTCTGTATTGGATATTAATGTCAATTAAATTCAATGTAAGAGATTTAACTTCTGCCCTCAAATTGCAATAGTTAACTATAATTAATCTAGCTTTCGCTTATCGTTCATAACATTTTTAGTTTGGATTCACTAACCATTGATATTCTTTCAAAAATCTATTTGAGGATCATATGCACGAATAGAAGAGATTTGTTTTTTAAATTTGAATATCGCTATGTAAGTCTTGCAAAAAGTTCCAATGACAAAAGATTGTTATAAACGGCTCAATAAAAAGTGGAAAAAAAAAATAAAAACGCAAACAGCAGCTTAATCAATGTTTTTCTAATGTATCGCACTAAAAGATAGCGTTGAAGTTTGATAAATCTGGTAAGGTTTATCTTACAAGTCCAAACATATGAGCGCCTTTGAAAATTATTGACACTGGCAACACGTGGTTGGGCAATACTCGCCGTATAATATTTTTATTTCAAACACATAACCTAAAGATTTCCGATTTTTTTTAACACGCGATAAGCGAGTGAAATTTGATATTCCTGATTGCTGTATTTGGTTTGTCATTTATCTCTTGTCTCTAGTCTATATTAGCCTTGATATTATTCAATAACTCATCTCTATACCCCCGCTACATGTTAAGATTGGCTATAATTTGGACATTGGTAAAATTTTAACTGGCCATAGTCTTAAAAGGTTACCCTTAAACAAAGTAATGCATTGATCCTCAAGTTAATTTCGCTTCGCATAGGGGATCATGCGCATTCTGTGATTCACCACCGCGCAAGACGATATTTGCAAGTAGCATACGCGGGAGGATCTGATGCATGCTATTGATCCTCATCCACACATGTAGCATCACGCTTCTCATGCTAAAGTTGCCATGTGGTGTGCCACACAGAAATTGGATAATGAAAGTTGCTAGCAACATCCGGAAGTTTTGAATTCCATTCGCGGTCAATAACTCATTTCTTGTCAATGGCGAAGAAACTTTACCATTGTCTTTATTATCCAATAAACATGTAATGGCGATTGACTGTTGATTATTTAACGTTAATATTAGGCCATTGCTAGCAATTATTTGGGTTGCCAGTCCTTTGCACACGTTGTTTCAAGAAATTGATTTCGCAACGCAGCTTTTTCGTTCGGTCACTAATTTTATTTTGGTTGTTCTGTATAGATTGTTTCTAATTTAACTGTATTTACGGTAATGCCAGCTTGATGTTTATTAAAAAATCAATAAACAATAAGCTTACATGACCGTTCACCTTAAGGTGATCGTCAGTTGAGATACGAATATTACATTACCGCACCTCTCGTGGCGACACTCATACCACCTTCGCTCGTTGCTTTGTCTGTTATAGACAATTGTGTTCAGACGCGGTTATCCTTAATTTTATCAATTAGATATTTAGTCGATGTTATCATTTCTATTGCGCCTTTTTATAGATTGTCCCGCATGATTGCTTTTCTACGCCTACGACAATTTCTTTTTCGGGATTGCAACCCACAAAGACTGCAAACACAATCTATATTTTGTTTCACAGATGAACTTTAAAAGAACGCACCGTCTTCGAACGGTCGAGGTTTACGTTCGCGATATTCGCAACGTGACATTTCCACTTGGCATTGTGTGTTTGCAGACGCGCTGTGTGGCACACGGCGTTCGCCGGCTCAATTTGCGCCAATCCGTTGCAGGATCGAGGACGAGTGGGTGCCCGAGAGGGAGGTGTCCAGGGTGAAGCGGGTGGAGATCGCGCAGCTGCCTGTCCACACGAAGGTGCTGCTGTACGAGCAGTTCTGCGGCTCGTACCGCAAGAGCCCCTCGCCCCCGCCGCCGACGCCCCCCGCCCCGACGCCCCCCATCCCGCAGCGGCTGCTGCCGATGCGCCAGTGCAACTCGTCGCGCCTCCTCAACAACCTCCTAGTCAGGAAGAGGCTGAGGGAGCAGCGCAGGAGCTGCAACGCGACCAACGCGCCGATGCTCTTCGAGGAGGAGAAGAAGGAGGAGAAGGTCAGCGGGGCGAAGAAGCGCAAGATGGGCCGGAGGTACGGTGGCAACTCCTTCTGGCCGTGCGGACGGTAGAGTGGCAGATCGCGGGCCGCGTCACGCCCTGTGGCCCGTGGATATTTAGAGGTTCTGTGAACTCGACTGCTCAGCGGCGCAGTTGCCGATTGGCTCCGGCGTCGGGGGTCGCGGGTTCGATTGCCACGCGGGACAACTGTTGTGTCTCCGCGCGGATAATGATGATGATTTTGTCCTCACGTAAGGGTAACGTTTTGAAACGAAACAAATGAAACGAAACGTGCGGGATGAGCGAAGCCTCTATGGTGGAAGGGACTCGGTGCCGCCCACGCGGACAGTTGAGCGCAGTCTGACAAATCGAGTTGATCAGAATGTGGTCCGATAGAGGGACTTAAGTCGGCTGTGTTCAGTCGATCTTGGCCGTGGGTCTAAAACGCAGCGGCGTGCACCAACCGCTGCACTCCACTGGGTCTCAGACCCCACGGTGCCGTGGCTTAATAAAATTCGCGTTCGTCCGCGTGGACCCCATCGCTGTCTCCCTCCCACCAGTTAAAGGCGCTATTTTTTGTTTCGGACGATTTTGACGAAGCGGGGTATATCGTGACGCGGCCCGGGACAGATGTTGATTCACCGCAAGCAGCGGCTGTCCAATTCGCCAAAGACTCGTTAACAGCGAAAGTTTCGCGGCTAGGCTAGCTTACGTCGGTAGCGGGAATCGGGGTAGTTGAATCCAATTCGAACGAAGACTGATAAACGCTTTTTATACGGATACCCCATTAGCCGTAGCGCCGAAGCGCCATCGAACAAACACTGTACATAATTAGCGAGAAACGTTTCTCATCGGAGATAGTTGTAGTTACGATTCGGAGTTTAGTCTGAATAGTTTTTAAGTCTAGCATAAGTCGTATCGACCAGCGATAGGAATCACTGCCAACTTGTAAATATTATACGTTAGTCGGTTTTACGTCTTTTTTTTTTTTTAGCCTTATTATCCCCCCTCGCGATTTATTTTCGGACGTCGTGTCCGCTCTGTGTGCGGGGGGCGTGTTTGCGTCGCGTTTGGGTGTTATTGTGTTTGTTTAGACGTGTTTAGGGCCTGTTTCGGATTTCGCCCCTTCAGGGGGCGCGAAGTCCGACGCGCGCCCGAAATCGCCCCCACGTGGGGGCGTTTGGGCTCGGCTCCCACTCTCGCATAGTTGTAGAATCAACAACTGTCTACGCGTCCATTGTAATTAAGCCACTGCCATTGGAAGTTGTGTTTTAGTTTTAGCGTCCGACGATCGGTCAACGAACAATTCGTAATCTTAGCAATAAATTATATGTGATAAGCGACCTTGCGACTATTCGTTGCCGCGCACAATTTTTAACCGACTGTTATTACATATTAATGTAGTACTACTAAGCTGTACGAACAAATATACAATAGGCCTGTTACGTTTTGCATGCATCGCCAAGCTATTCGGCGGATTGTATTGTATTGCATGCGTTATTAAAGTTAAAAAAAAAAAAGAGAACTGATACCACCAGTGAATACGGTTCGTAGTTTCTCTCGTAATTGTGATCATGAGATTTTATTGTCCGATTTGTACTCTTTATTGAGATGTAAAGCGTTCCGTAGAAGTTAGAACGATCGAGGCGCGATATTGGAATAGAATGATCGGCAGATGAAAGTACAAAAAGTTTTTATAGGTTGTTTTGGGTAGAGTTTGTACTTATATATATGTTACGATTTATTGTACGCGATCGATGAACCATATTGTACTGTATACACTAGTTGGAAATCTTTCGAAAACTGTTTACCTCGAATGATGAAAGTTACACTTTTGTAATGTCCACTTGTACGTATTATCGCACTGCTTTAACAAAAGTCTAAAAGTCGTAAAATAATTCTGTCAGATAAATATTGAACGGATGCCAATAAAACCGCTTTACAACTAAAAGAGAATATTAAAAATTCATTCACTCAGGAGCTTTCTATGATTGGAGTATTTATGTGTTATGATATTCAGTTATTTTTGTAATAGCAGTGTGATGATATGAATTCAGAAGCAATATTTTATAAAATAAAAAATAAGGATTTGATTCACTGTGTGAGATGTATTACTTTTCTATTTTAGTGTTCAAGACAAATGACAATGATGTATATCAGCTAATCTAAAGGAAAAAGAGTTTTTTGTAATAATATATAAGACGCAAAACCCATTGTAATATAGTTTATACATTGAAAAATTAGATTTATACAATATTTAAACAGCAACACTTCTAATGGTAGTAAAATGGCGATTGGTAAAAGATGCATCGGACACGAGGCGATCCAGACCTTTAAATATATTTTATATGCGCCGTTATAGTACCATTCGGACGTGAGACGAAGAAGCACCAATAGTTGATAAACGCGAGAATTTTTTTTTTACCGTTTGTCCATAATGGATTTATAAAGAAGCTAGTTTAGATGTTTTTAGACGCCCATATACAGATATTGTCAACTGTTCGTGCCTATAGCTTAAGGACGGGCGGATGTTGAAATTGTGTTCTGTGCTCACACGATCTCGCTAGGAATTTTAGTTAGTGCCTCTAGGGTTAAGTTAGGGGGAATTGTTGCGTCGCCACGGCGCTTGGCAGCGGTATGGTGTGTCGCGGCCCGTAGTTTAATGTTGTAAATATGAGACTCGGTGATAGCTAGTTTCGGTCGGGTTCAGTGAGGTTCGGTGAAGTAGTTAATGGCGGCTGCGGAACGGTCCAAGCGTGGGCGGAGTTTGTCGTTGCGAATGAAACGGCCTCTAAAGAGCCCGCATTGCGACGACGAACGAAGCTCTGAGCAAAGTTCGAATTCGCCCCGTAATGGGGCGCGAATGGCGTCCGCATTCGCCTCCTAATGGGGCGCGAATGGCGTCCGCGTTTGGAGCGAGGTCACTCTCAAACACCGCTTGGATATTCCTTGGATGGAATGGGCTAGGAAAATTACGTCACGTAGTCAAGTTGGTGCCTGTATGTCGGTCAGTTTACGGAGCGTGCACCGTCTGCACACAATTCTCGTCTGGATGTATTCCAATGTACTGATTATTGCGGTTATTTTTCCTTTTTTTCACTCGTGTTAAATTTTAAGACGTAGCCTAATCTCTCAGCACTGACGATAGTGCCATATTGTATCGGCTCACTCGCTTGTTTATTGAAATTAATTAATTTAATAATGTGTAGTCAAATTCGACGCCAAATTCGTAAAGACAAAATTAGTTCATGTTCGTTTGGGGCGCAAAGTTGTTTCGTGTTATGATCTCAAATGTATCGGCGGTGTCACCTTTTATTTGAATGTATGCGTAATGTGTATGAGTTCTATTCGAATGGAAATTTATATTGTAGTTCATCGTCGTGCGATATTGATACTTAAGTTAGAAGCCGGAGGTGATTCGCCCAATGCGGTCCTGTTGCGTCCGAGCTCTTATACAGATCAACGAATCGCTCAATATCTATGTTTTAACGAGTTAACTCGTGATGATCTAATAAATAGGCCTATACGCGTTTTTCTCAGCCAGGAAGGGAACTCTGTACTCTTTCGATTCGATGAGCTCGGAAGCGACTTACCGCCGTTAAGTTAGCGTAAGCAATCCGTAACAGTTTAAACAGAGGAATATTTTGTTAGATTCGGATCTTGACGGACTCCCAAATTAATATCTAAAGATACTCTAGATAATGTAAGCGAGCGACGCGACGAGATATACTTTTTACCACTGCCACGTTAATCGTTAGTGTGTCGGATAGGATTCTGTGCGGTTTATTGTCTGTCTGTCTGTCTATTTGCTAGTTTTCGTCGCGCGCCCTTGTGCGTTGCGGCGCGTTCACCCGGATTTGCTCATTCATTCGCTTTTCTTTTCCATCGCTCAACGGAAACAACGGAAGCGGTAACCATCTGCGGCGGCGGGCGGACCGTTCGACGGACGATCTCTAGGCGAATGATTCGTGTGACCGATCAATATACGAATGATTCGCGCGACGGTCGGTTCGTCGGCGAATGATTCGGGCGGCGGTCGGCTCGTTGCGAATGATTCGCGCGACGGTCGATTCGTTGGCGACTGGTCCGTTCGGCGAGCGGTCGCGCGAATGACGGAGCGGAGGCGCGGAGCACATTACGGCCGCGGAGAAGCGCGAATTAGCCCGGGCCCGGTCGGGAACCCAGCCGGGGGGCGCTTTACGGTTCTCTCTCGCGTTAGAGACGGTAGCTTAATTTAGACATTGGTTTCGAGATTCCCGCACCGGGCCCGCTGGGCCGCGGTGTAAATAGATAAGTATTTATTGATAAGTATTAAAGCGGCAGTGGTCTGCTTCGCGCCTCGGTGTGGGGCGATCGGGCGGGGACTCCCCGCCCTCGTCTATAATAGTGGTAGTGTACTCGAGTTGTCTTTCAACATGTTTCCTATATTATGCGTTTATTATATGAATGTTCCCCTTTATTGTAAATGTTTTGACGAGGATTCATAGAAACTATATGCGGAGCCTGTATCCCAAATAGTGTGCACTACTTATATTCAATTTGTAGATATTTAATTATATATAGTATAATGTTTAATGCGTTGTCTTATTTGCTTGACTCCTCGATGGTGAAATCCGAAAAGTGATTATAATTTGGCCCGCGCGCTCCGCCGGGTAATCTACCTCAATTAATTTATCACAAGTTTGGGCATAATAAATAATGAATAGTGAATGTTGCTCTTTTTTATCTCGATCCTTGAAATTTGTTCAATTTAGTGTTTATTAAGTTTCTTTTTAAAATTCGAATATCGAAATGGTTTGTCCACGTGTCACAAGTACTGTATCTTATATTAAATACATATTGTATGATTGATTACGATGAGTTTTATTCGTGATGCGATACCTGATGATGAACTGGCAATCATTGAGATTTTTTATGTATTCTTAAGCATTTAAGAAATTACAAGTCGATTACAAAAATTTAAAATGTGTGTTGGCGACTCTAAAACTTCGAATCGAATCGCTGGGCGCGAATTCGGCGGACGTGGGTTCGATTTCCGCAGCGGTGAAATACTTTTCGCGCATGTTTTCTACAAATTTTAATCTTTCATCTTAACTTTAGCACTGTATAAAGTTTAATTGAAGAAAGTTAATTAAATGAAATTACTTGAGTAATGAATTACTTTTTTTATGACTATCTTTTTTTAAATCGGACAAAAACGAGCATCTTACATATTTACTCTGCTGTATAGCAATGTATTCTCGCGATGCGATGATATTGGAGCAATAAACTGTAAATATATAGATCTTTTTTTAAAATAAACTACGAATAACATTGATTTACAAATTTTTATTTCGATTTGTCCACAAATTACATAAGTAAATCTGTTGGAGACATCACAATTATACTACACAGTGTTTCCGCTATTAATATTTTTTATGAATTTGATTTAAAAAGAAATTTGATATTTTACACTTGTTAAACATGTTTATTACTGAGTTAATTGTAAACAAATAATTTAAATTCGTGCATATTGAAGAAAATGGCTATATTTAAAAAACAAGCTCTAATAAATCTAAAACAGAATCGAAGGCTTTCTCATAGTCCATGAACGATAGTCATAAAGGTATTTAAATTGTTTATAGTACTAATCTTTGCACTTAAGATTGAACATTAAAATATGTAGAAAAAGTGCGAAAAGATTGTCGCCGCTGTGGGAATCGAACCCACGTCTTCGGCATTCGCGGCCTGAAGCTCTAGCCACTGAGCTAAACGGCTGATTACCACACCGACGAAAATCTTAACGCATTCTTCTACATTGTTTTCTTAGCATTTGAAGCAATGCTTGGCGCCATCTATTGTTATATCCTTTCCAGCATACAAACAACTTCGAATATCGTTTTACAACGATAATTCGAACGAGAGATGTCGCCATGTCTTTTTAGAAATTTAAATTGTTTATAGTGCTAATCTTTGCACTTAAGATTGAACATTAAAATATGTAGAAAAAGTGCGAAAAGATGCGAAAAGATTGTCGCCGCTGTGGGAATCGAACCCACGTCTTCGGCATTCGCGGCCTGACGCTCGTTTTAAGGGAACGTTATCGAGTTTCTTGTAGAACAGTACCACAAAACTTCTGCCCCACGCCTCTGGCGTAGCGCTAGGTTGAAAGACGCAATTAATCAGCTTCTGAAGGACCACAAGTAATGGTTGTTGACCCGCTTTCAGAAGCTCAGTTGTATTATCATCCTAACCTGGTGATTTGTCATTCTTAAGTTGGTCAAGAGCCATTCTAATCTCGCCCAGACTAACGAGTGTTGACAAGCTTCGTTTTTCGTTCATTACTTTCGTTCGTGTGTATGGCGTTGACGACGATGTGTACAACTATCCATGGAATATCGATCTCAATCAAAACCTCGGTTGTAGCGGAAATAATAGAAAGTTGACCTGGATTAGCACCGGCGGTCCTGTTTATAACGAAATTGATTGAACGAACATTATGACGAACAAATGTAAAATATTTAATAACGTCTCTGTGATCACAACGGCGAAGACTGACACTGAATGAATGAATGAAATGAATCGACTCCATCTATCTCCTGCCCACATCCAAAATTCCGAAAACTTACTAACTACTACGAATTAAATACCTTAATCTCATCCAATGCCTGGAAAATAGCAACATGCTGAACGATATTAACAATAAGCTCGTAAAACTTTTCGAAATTTTATAGATAATGCCTTATAACCTTTATCATAATGCATTATCTCGTTAAATAAAGTTTATTTAAAGTAAAGTAAGTAAAGTATCAGCCTATACATGTCCCCCTGCTGGGCAAGGGCCGCGACGCGACTCCACTGCGGCGGACTTCACACATCTTCAAAAAGTTTTTTGTTATTATTTCGCAAATAGGCAGGTTTCCTCACTATGTTTACCTTCACCGCTGAGCACGTGGTAAGTCAGCACTTAATAACGTTTCATTCAAGAACTCGGGTTGCTCGAGTATATTGAATTAAAAGCGACCGCCAGGACAATGAGCTATCACGGCTCTCTCACGGCACCTTACGTTCGGTAAACTGTAGCTCGCCACACGGCCATTGCAGATTGGCAGATATTCTTTTATGATTTCTTACACATGCAAGCCAGGGACAGGGACGGACTGAGCCGTTTTATTTACAGGGAAGTCGTGGTAAATGTTTTTTTGAATTAATGAAATTAAGTAATAATTTATGAAATAATAATAATAAGTTTTTATTGCTCTTTGAGGTCGTGCCTATATCTATGAAGGAAACATTTTATGAGATGCAAGATTTTTCTGTTACTTTGAATTTTTTGTTTAACACCAAAAAATGAAAATGGAAAAGAATATGAGAAATTTTTCTGTACTACAAGAAAGTTAACAGTCAATTCTAAAACTGATATTGATGAAGATTTGTTTTTTGGTGAAATTTTAGGTTACTGCTAACCTAAAATTTCACCAAAAATCAAAAAAAGTGTTACCCGATCTCTTCAAATAGTGCTGCCACTATTTGAAGAGATCAGGTAACACTTATCGAAACAATAAACATTGCCTTAAAGCACAATCTTTGAGTTATATCTCAACACCTGGATATAGCTGTGCATTGTATTAGCAATACTGATTGTTGCAGGTTTTGTCAACTTATTTTGTCAATCGATAAAACGTACTTGCGGTCTAAAATATCTAAAACAAGAATAACTAATAACTAAAATCATGTTGCAGAATACCTAGACTTGGTTAAGTGTGTTTGTTGACATAAAAACGAGAAGTTTATCACACTATTTCCTGACATGAAAGCTAGAAAAATACAATCGTGAGGGGCCGGGCGTTACGTTAGGAAGGACGTGATCGCCCATGACCTGAAGATCGAGTCCATCGAGGAGTTTGTGGTCCGGATGGCCCGTCGCATGTTCGACAGGGCCGACAACGGACCACACCCACACCTGGAGAATATTGCTCCACTCCACGCCCGTCCTCCTGACGGACGCCCGCTCCCACGAGAGCTACTGCAGTCGGAACAGACCATTGGGGGGCCAGACCTGACCGCACTTCCGCCGCTGTGTCGAAGACGATGTCGTCCTCGCGTTACACACCGCGTGTAACGCCGTACACCCGCAAGTGCCGCTACCGCAGTCAGGGAAAGGGATGGCCGAAAGCCATCCTCACCACCGACCAGCCATTCGCTGGTAATGGGGACAGGAACGCCCGAGTAATGGGGACGGGGCCCCGAAACTCGTATATGCAGGGCCTTTAGCCAGCTGCAATATACCAGTCGTAGAAAAATAAGTTGAAGTTGTTTTAATTATTGTTTTTCTTTAAATGTTTCTTGAGTAACTGACTGCAATCATAGGTAAGTAAATTTATTTAGAAAATGAATGGATGAAATATGTGATAGTTAATAATTGTACATATTTCTTTGTAGTTTTCCATTAATTCAATATAAAATATGGTACAAGATTCAATGTATGTTTTTTTATGAAAATAAAATTAGCGACCTACCTCGACCGCGTAGAATGCACGATTAACACAATATGTTTGTAAATTTAATTTTTTATGTGAGAAGGTGAAAAGCGGCCGTTCACCTGATGTTAAGTGATGGCACATCGTACCGATGAACAGCCGTAAGCTTGCAGATACATTACCAAATTTCCAGTTTTGACTGTGTGTACTCTATCGTAGGAGAGTACCAAATATCCATCGATACATTCTTACAAACTTCGACAAAGGGACACAAAAGGGCGCTGAATGCATAACTCGACCGGAGCTCATGTACTCAAGGCCGGCACTGGTTTCACCAAGCTCGTAAGTTCCTTAGAGTGGTTGGTTTATAATATGGAAATAATATTTGTCTACATTACTTCCGCATATGTAACACCTGAAGGTTTATAATATGGAAATAATAGTTGTAACATCTTCGAAATTTATGTGTGTTAGAAGTTGTTTTAATATTTTGATTACACGACTCTAGAATGCTTACATCTTCCATAAACGAATAGGATCATATGTTACTATGATGTTGTACATAAACTATCACATGTATTTATTGAATTTTAAGTAAATAATGTTACAATATCGCTCACAATAGTTTCCGGTGTAATTAAAACTTTAAGCATCTTTAGAAATCCTTATAAACGTGATAGCTTTGTAATCATGCTACCCTTATCCTAAAGTATGTACTATACTTTACCTAATCCCCGGATTAGAAGTATTTGCCAGTGATTAATAAACGATAGCAATGTTAAAGCTTCGCATCGCATATCGTGGATGGCATACCGTAGGTATCGTCGGCGAACGTCGCACAAAGTCTCCAATTTCTACTGCGCGCGCGATCACGTTGCTATATGTTGTTGTTAAAGCGCCCAACAATATAGCGGAGTTGTGAAAGGTATTAATTTTACACCAGGGAACGTTTGCGATAAAGATTTCACAAGGCAACCCGACACCGTGCCAGGTGCGACCCACGGCGGCCCGCATCGCCGTAATGAGACAGTTACGTAACAGTTAGATCTGAATAATGTCTTCGGCTCGCAAATCGGTGGCTTACTTAACCTAGGACGCGGCCACAGCGAAGGCAGCGCTGCAGGCCAGCGCTGAAGTGCTGTATAGCGTGCTAACTCCGAACATTGACTAGTATTCTGGCTCATGGTTTATCCCAAAATAAATTAATCATTCAGTGATATAATGCGTTAACTCAGCGAACAAGCTGTCTTCAAATCAAATTTGATTCAAAACAGTTGAGACGTGTTGAGAAATGGAAAAAACACACACACGTCAAAGACTTTCGCATTCGTAATTTTAGGATAATCCCTGAAAACTGGCATAATAAAATCAGCACCTACCATGTATACGTTTCTTACATAAACCGAAGACAGAAGAAAACAAATTTGTGGCGTTAATTAAGCATCACGTGTTTTGAAGTAATTACTCAATTGTATACTTGGCAAGCGGAATGGCAATACCAATCGAATTGTAAACAAAGTTAACTTCAAATATAATATAACCTAAATGTAGTCTAAATTATATACCGAAAGGGCAAAGAAATAAATGATCTCGCTCCATCTTGAGGTCCGCTGAAACAATGACCGACGCAAATTAATTTTTTTTTACGTTAGAGGCAAGCGAGCTGGCGGTTCACCTGATGTGAAGTGATAACTACCGCATGGAGATTTGCAACACACGTAGGGTTGCAGATACGTTGCTGCCTTTTAATAAAGTGGGCTACTGGCGTGGGCGAGATGCAGAAGTCAGCCGGTCTCCTGTGAGGTCGTGGTACTTCCCCGGATGGACCTGCCCATTCGTGCAACAGGGAACTGTTGCGTGAACCACAGATAAAACAAACTCGGAGAATAGTCCCCACGCTGTGTATTAGACGTAAACTCACCGACAATATAAAAAATACAGAACGCCACTGTGGAATTCTCCTTACACAAGAACAATTTAGTGCAATTTTACAGTAAAACAGTAGTTATTACATTCCCAATAAGGAGAACAAACGCGGCGATCTGTCAACGGGTATTGCTTATAATTCTCGTACGCACTGATCCTGTTTAAGGAGATTACAGCGCCGCCTGGCGCCGGCTGCTGCATATTCCGCACCGAGAGATCATTTAAAACCGTTACCCGTTTGTTATCTAATATCATAATAGACGTAATAACAAGTTAGATGTGGGTACATGATAAATTAGGGCCGTTTTACTGCTAATCTTAATTTAGTTAAGACGTGGACGTAAAGCGCCCCCTAGGAAACCTATCTTTATTGGGTTGGAATCGCCGAGCGGAATAACATTGTGAAAGTATAGAGAAGACGACTTGTTTGAGACTTTAGATTAAGTATCTGGAGCAGGTCTGGGAAAGAAAGTACTTTCTTGTATCTACCACACATACTGTCCACAATTATTATAGTGGAAAAACAACCTATGACGACTTTAAAACCTGACGGAGTTAGAGATGTGTAGCGTTAAAGATGGGCCACATATACCCCTCGTCCTATACCGAATACCAACGTGCAAGAAAAAACGCCTATAAATTTAAAAAAAATGGTCGAATTTGACAAATAATATAGCATATATCCAAATCTTACACCTCATTCTGTGATATGAGAATAGTTTATATTTCAATCTATGAAGTTATAAACTAAGGCCCGGTTTCTGAAACACTGATCATCGTAGATGTCAACTAATCACCTGTCAAATGGCATTTCACATTTCATTTTAGTTTGCTAAAAGATGGTTGAACTCTCATAATTGAGCAGAATGATCTTCTTAATGATTAGAATTATCAATTCAACGAGTTTAACCATCCTTTTGGCCACTCAAATGACATTTAAAAAGCCATTTGACAGCAGATTAGTTGACATCAACTATGATCAGTGTTTCAGAAACCGGGCGTTAGTCTTATGTATCTGTTAAGTTTATGCATCAGCGCGCTCAATTTGCGCCAAATCACTATTGCTCCCATACCTCCTTTTGGGTTAGAATGCTGAAACTTTGAAACTCCATATTTAACACGACTGTTGCGTATGAGTTATAAAAGTATTCAATGCATAAACGACCATGTTAAAATGAATTCTTTGTTATTCCGCTACATTAAACTAAAAACATGTCGGCCACACCGCAACACAGAACGCTTACTTACTTTTCTTTACTTAATAGAAAAATTAAAATGCTGCTCTTTAAGCTATCGGAGTTGATGACATTGTAAGGTCAGAATGGAAAATGTATTTTTTTTGTTCAAGTAATTTAGCATCAAGTGAGCATTATTTTTCACTAGCGACTCGTCCCGGCTTCGCATGGGTGCAATGTATTATACATATAAACCTTCCTCTTGAATCACTCTATCTAGTAAAAAAAACGCATCAAGATCCGTTGCGTAGTTTTAAAGGTAGCATACATAGGGACAGACAGACAGCGGGACGACTTTGTTTCATACTATGTAGTGATATCTGGATATTTAACAAATTTATTTTACGCATAAAAGGGAATTTAGTGTTGTTTACACAATGTTTCGTGAATGTGTTGCGTTACACCCCAACAAAATGGAGTGACGAAAATCGAAGAATGCAGGTGGCTCAAGATTGTGCTTCGTGGTAGTCTGTGGCCAGTCCAGGTCAGACCTATGGCCTACCGCTTAAGTTCAGCACTGGACACAAACGGACTGAAATGATAAAAATATTTATATACAGCTACTAATTGAGATTACGACCATTATGAGGTGAGCCGCATAATGCTCGTTAAGTATTTATTTTATAGGGTTATTTTACCGTTAATGTAAGACCAACGTGAGTGTGGTAATTGAAGCATACTAGTTATAAAGGAAATCGCACCTACAACTCATAAGGTATGGTAGATGCCGCAAGCTCGTTTATCAAATTTTCGCATAAAAAACCCAAAATAAATTATCATGCAAGTTGCAAGTTTGTTCAAACAATTAATTTGTAATTATACTTTAATGGGGTTTAATTCGAAATCATTCAACTAATTCCTATATATTATAAAGAAAAGATAGTGCATGGTACTATGTGTGTATCCTGAAGTTAGCAAATGTTCCCGAATCTTTATTTTGTTTTCAAGTTATTTTGGTACCCATCAAGTACACCAGTTTTTTTCCAAAATGAGGTATGCCAGTACATAAATGAGGTTTTCAATATGTTTTTCAACGTTAATTAGTAGATTAGTACTATATAAGCAATGCTGGTTAAATGATGGAGTAGTCATTACTTGGGTCACCGGTTCGAATCGGTTAGGATTCTATGGGTTAACGAATACGTCATTTCTTCTGGTTTTATTTCTGAAGTGCAGTAGTTTAACAGATGCACGGCGTTTTTGTTTGGTGCGCAATAAACCTAAATTGTATTTGTAAACCTAAATTAATACATTGTACCTAACTTGTATTCACATACTTTTTTGACTATTGATTTCAATAATTATAATCGACCAAGAACCATCGTACCGATGAAAGTCGAGGAAATTAATGTTGAAAGAAATACAAAGAGCAAATGGGATCGATTTTAAAGCCCTGGCGATTGCAGGATGCATTGTCAGCATTTTTGGTGGCCGGGCGAGGCGCGCCACATTGCAAAACCCACTACTCCACCGCCCACCATCACACTGTCACCACATTACCGTCGGGCTCCTGTTTTCCTGATCACGGTGAGTCAATTTAAATTATGTCTATTTAATTACAGAATATCTCATGATCGGTTAACAAATTCGTCTCTAGTTTGACTATTTTTAAAGAACATCGTTTTAGTTTATAATATAACTACGATTAGTGATCAATAAAATAAATTAATTGATAGATTATCTCGATATTTTCAATAATCGAATGCGAATTTCTCGATAATATAATCCTATGAAGAATATGAATTTCTATGAAGGTATATTTCTTTATAGAATTATCAATCGTTTGTCAATTTTTGTATTTTCTAGACATCTTGCCAACTGGTTAATGCTTGCTAAAACATACTTTAGATTGTATTGTATGTATCAAGTACTTTAAATAAAAGAGTTATAAAGTCTAATTAGGAAAATAATGTCATGTCCGCTAAATATGAACATGGTCTTTTCATGTCGTTTTTCCTCCTAGTTTCATAGCTCTTATAACTTAGTGACTTTAATTTCGTTAAAAATTTAATGTGTTATATAGTTTTTGCTCAATTTATAATTAAAAAAAAATTTATAGTTGTACTATTTTAGTTGTCATATTAAATAAATAATTTTATTATTATCGTGTGGGGGATATTTTTTGTTTTCTCGTCTGGTTGGGTTTATAAATAAAAATAAGCATATAGCTGTATAAATATTTTATATAATACATGAATAATTATTAAGAGAATTAAGCCTAACACGTTTTTTTGCAACAAAAGTAGTGTTCGTTCTAACCAGGTTTGAATGTCATAATTGTAACTCTACGTTCGTTTTTCATAAATATAAAATATTTGTGTGTGTTATAAGTGTTGTTAATATTAAATACATTTATATACACATCTTTCTGAAAAGGATAATTCTTTCCACTCTAAAATTCAGGTCGTATATCATGTTTGCAGCTATATTTCATAGATATTAAAGTATGTCTAAGTAAATTATTTATAATCTATATTAAATAAAAAAAATGTATTAAAATGTACCTAATGTTATTTATGGTAGCTCCAACGTGTATACATTTACGTGTATAACAAAGGCAGATAGATGGAAAACGGAAATGGAGAATTAAAGAAGAAGTTCAGGGTTGAAATGGCCATTACCTCACAGTCACGTGGTCTTATTGGTACAACGTGTGATGTGACGTAGTGGAAGTCTCGACCTGGACGGTCTACGGATTATGAAGAACCACTTCGAGAGAAGTCCCCAACTAATTCCTAACGGAATATTCTTGTATGTT